TGAAGTGAGGCTTAGTTTTCATAACAGAGAAAATAAGAGCAAGAAGTCATCAACCACGCTATAATACAGGCAGACTCATACAGAGTATAGTCGAGACATTACAAAGTGACAAGGTTCATGCATTCAGACTGATGCAGGCATTCATAATCACAGCAGCCTCAAATTATAGATCAGAGACAGACAGAGCTACTACATGCCTGACAGGGTAGAGCCTATTACTAGCTACAAATATTTGGCTTTCCTTGATCTTGTTATAATAATAAGTTGAACTCACACACTACGCATACAGTGCATGCGCGTGCGTGCTACTACAAAAGATTTATATGTTTGGTGTGCTATTTGCAAAAAATTAAAAGTACAGAGGAATAGAGTAAAGTCATGTGGTCCAAACAAGCCCAGATACACTGTAGACATACAACACAAATTAGAAGTATATGCATGTGAATATATTATTTAAATGGAAATGAGCGAAAACATAAAGCAAAACTGTAATCTAATGGAATGGAGACAAAGTGATAATATTTAAAGGTGGTCATTCCTCTCTGTATGTACAATGTACGTACATACATGCTATTAGTGAAAAATCTAACAATTAAAATACATTACCAAGTGTTTGCTTGCAATACAAACAAGGCCAAGCCCAATAGACAAAGTGTGAATATAATTTGTCAGAAAACATGTGTATACATGACACACACAGACATCTCACCTCTCTCTCTCTCACTCTCTCTAAAATGATGTGCAAGCAAAAATGTTATAAAGATAAAATGCATAATGATCCAGTGGGTAAGAGAAAGCTACACTGAAGCTTAAAGTATAAGAAAGGAACACACAAAAGCAAATAGTTTTAAAGAGAAGAGAATGAAGTCATGTTTCACCAAAGCATTCTATCAAAATGCCAAAAAACAATAATGGTGAGACAACAAAGTGAAACACAAGTTGATTAGCAAAAAATTAGAGTTTCACTTACCACTGGATGGTCCATCATTTTCAAATGATATGTCAGATACTATAGAGAGAGAGAGAGAGAGAGAGGAGGTGAAAAGAGGGAGGGGGAGGGAGAGAAGTAAAAAGGGAACAAAGAGATAAAGTTTACATCAATGAGAATTTGACACCACACTAAACTAACTAACCATCTCTAGCAGAACCGAGTCCCACGATGGAAAAGAGCAAAGAATAGAGAGCGAGCCCTCTCAAAGAGCACCCAAGAGCCATGAGAGGAATAGAGAGAGAAAGAGATTAGCCTAAGGCCAGAAAAGAAATTCAAATAGGAAGGAGTGTCGCCTGTGTCGGAAAGTGAACACTATAAATATTGCTTCCTTGCAAACCCTCAAGAGGATTAGAATCGACTGTGATCTCAACAGCAAGAGTCAGGACACTAACTGTGACTAACAAGAAGCGGATCTACCAGGCTCAGCTCGCCTTTGAAGACTACTTACCACATGCACTATCCTAAATTCTAAAATTACACCCGCAGGAAATATTAATTGACTAGTTAATGTAGTTATTATTTATTAAACCAATCACGGGTGGGCATCAGGAAATGCTACAAAAAGATATTAAGAATTTTTTGCTTTTTGCAATGAAAAATGAAACATCATGTAGCTAAGAGTTTTTGCATGTAGTATGAAATTCGCCTTTAGGTTTATATCTATGCCAATAAGGTCCATACCCTGCTGCCATTCTGTCAGCATTGCTCTTACTAGCTACATTGCTTTGTGTGAACTTCTGTTTGCAACACAAAGTAGTACCATCATACCAGGAACTGCTGCTCTAATATCATGCAACCTAAACCACAAGCTGTTTCCATCCATTCAGAAACGGGCCAAACATACCAACAAATTACCCGTTGTCACAGCAACGGGAGCCACACCTCATTTGTGGACAAAGCAAAGCAAGCACAAGGTGCGTGTGATTGTGTGCGTGAATGTTGTTGAGGAGTTCTGCTCGTTTATTGAGACGTAAGCAGCAACATCTGCCATCAAAGGCTTCCTCTACCAACCTCCTTTTCCTCCTACTCAGGAAAATGTCTTCAGCTGCAGTCCTACCTGGTCACTCCTCAGGGAGACTGGGGAGACTAATGCAGAGTCCTTTCTCCAGGACAGAGTTGTACAATGCAACCACGGGGGACTCTTTTATGAGCCACGGGAGAAAAAGCAAGAAGAAAAAGACTAGCTCAAAATCAAAGACAAAACTACGAAAAGTCTCGACTAAAAGCTCCTCCCCCTCCTCTTCCTCAAAGAAAACTAAACACACTTCAACAACCCACACACCGTATCTACGATCATATCCTGCCGCTTCAACTCTAGTGGGTGTGGATTCTGGTTCCCCTATAACTAAGAGACACAACTACTCCTCCTCTGCCTCTTTTCTGAGACCACACCCACAAGCAACACTGAAAAGCCACTCTCATACGGAATACGGGAGTCCCTCTAAAGTCCTTCTCAGTCTCAACCCGCCCCAGCCTCGTTCAGCAATCAGCATTCGTCTATCCCCGAGCGTGGGAACAAGGTTTTTGAGTTACGGTAGGAATCAAGGACCTGCCGGCAGTGAGTTCACCATCGAGAGACTGGCTCATGACCTCGCTAAAATGAAATTTAAAAAGATAATTGTAATGACAGGAGCTGGCATTAGCACCAGCAGTGGAATACCAGATTTTAGGTAGAGAAGGAGAGAGGGAGGGGGAGAAGGGAAGGGAAGGTGAGAGAAGGGAAAGGTGAGATTAAGGCCCTGTTTACACAGCAACGCAAAATGTGTCATTTTTAACACCGGTTTCGTTTTCGTAGAATTCTATCGAGATTCTATCTTGTTTTCATTTGTTTCCGGCTGTGCAAACAGAAGTATAAAACAGGCACAAAACTGTACCAATTGCAGCATTTTTGTTGCTGTGTAAACGCAGCCTAAAAGTGTAGACATCACTCATTTTAATCAATCATCAAATCTTGTTTACATTACGGCCTTTGCTCTTAAACATTATGTTCACTCTACTTACTCTAGGACACCTGGTACTGGGCTTTACGACAACCTCAAGCAGTATAGGATACCAGAGCCGACGGCCATTTTTGACATCACGTACTTCTCTCGAAATCCAAAGCCTTTCTTTACTCTAGCACAGGAGCTGTATCCAGGGAAATACTCGCCTAATTCAGTCCATTACTTCATCAAGTTATTGCAAGAGAAAGGTTTCTTGCTCAGAAATTATACTCAAAACATTGACGGGCTTGAGAGATGTAAGCAGCTACACTGCATATACATGTACCTTGACAATAAAGTTATAATAATTCATAATTTCTCTCTTGTCCCCTCTCTTTAGTGGCTGGTATTAAATCAAGTAAGCTAGTTGAGGCTCATGGCTCCTTCTCAACTGCTTCCTGTACACTGTGTCATGCTAAACACAACTCTGATGATGTCAAGGTATAATTAATCAGTCTTGCATCTCTCTCTCTCTGTTTGCTTTCTATGTTGCTTTTGGCAATAACAATAAACCGTTTTTGTTTCCTCTCTACATTTTATCCCCTCAGGCTGCAATAATGAGCTCTACTATACCCAAGTGTAAACACAAGTTCTGTTCAGTGAGTATAATAGCCTCTTTATGTACATGTACATCTACTTGTATTTCTAATTCTTTAGGGTGTCGTGAAACCTGATGTTGTGTTCTTTGGTGAAGATCTTCCTCAACGGTTCCACGCTCTTCGTTGTGTTGACTTTGCGCACTGTGACCTACTGATAGTAATGGGAACATCACTAGAGGTAGTAAAGCAATGATAATAATAATAATAATAATAATAATAATTTTAATGATCTCTTTCTCTTGTCATGTACTATTACTTAATGCCTTGCATGCTTCTCTGATGAATGTCAGACTCCCCACACATCCCTCCCTTATGCCTTTGGGACATTCCTTCCGTTATTATTTCAAGCTTGCTACATGAACTTTGTGATAGTAATAATTTGTCACTTCCATTCAAATGTGAAGGTCAATGGACACCAATGAGTGACTATAATAGTCATCACTTAACTCTCTGTATTGACACCTAATTGTGATGCTCTTGTTAAGTCAGTCTCATGTACAAGTACATATAAATGTAGTCTACATGATCATATTGATACTTTAATTTAGCCTCTTATTCTTTTAATGTTACAGTAACTCTTATCTTTGCCTTAAAGTCTATTATCTCTATACACTCTCACCTTTTTGCTTCATTTAGATATTTATAGTAAATATTCGCTACATAATTAGGTTGTATTATTTACTATCGGCACAATTTAAAATTTCATTAAACTCTTGTGGGAATATATGCATTTCAAAGGACCGTTATATCCTGTATCTATGTTTATTTGCCTGTATGATCACTGAAATATCATCATTAGATCATGATGTGCATACACATGTCCATGTACAAGTATGGCATGATACAGCCTTTTATGATACACATTACACAATGTATCCAGATTTTACTTTTATTCTATTTTTTAAACATGTTTTAAAGTTACATGTACATGTACACGTAATGTGCTTATAATAATATTCAATTCATGTGCAAGCTAAATGATGCATGGCTTTTTTATTCTACTGTTATACATGTACATGTAGGTCGAGCCTTTTGCCAGTTTAGCTACATCAACCCGTTTTGATACTCCTCGTGTACTTATCAACCGAGAGCTAGTAGGACCTTTTAAGCACCAAAGAAAAAGACCCATGGACCTCTCCCTAACCGGAGACCTCACGGATCAGATTAGTGAACTAGTAAGACTGGCTGGCTGGGAACAAGACCTCAGCGAACTGATGAGTAACGGGAGAGAGAGAACCAAAGAAGCTTCAGACATTCCTAGCAATAAAAGTGATGAATCTTGTGTACAAAGTATTACAAGTACTGATTGTGATCAGGGAACATCAGAAGGGGCTGAGGTTACGCCCAGTTCCAGTGGTATCGAGGAGGAACTATCACAAGAGTTTAGTAAGATAAAGATAGACAAGGAACGAGAAAATACTTAGAAAGGAAATGGCTAGTGGGTGAGCCAGTTCTCTTGTCTTTTTTGCAGTTGATTTTTACAACTTTGCTTTTTGTAATATTAAATTTATTATGTCTCTTTTCTATTTATTGTTTTTGTACTCAGTCCTTTGTTAAAAAATCAATTTTTCTAATGTAAGATTCCGTATCTTTTCAAATTATTCGTGATTGAAAGCCACGCCCATGAGATGCCCCACCCTTCAAAGTAATATTGAAATCAGCAGCATGGAAGACAATGTCCATTCCATTGAAGTCTATTTGCACCCAGTGGCAGCTTTTGCCATTATAGACAGCCACGAGAGGCGCTCGAAAGACAACCAAACCCGAGTCATAGGCTCACTCCTAGGAACAAAGACGCCTGATGGAGTGTACGAGGTAATTTATTAAAAATATTATTATTTTAAAATGGTTGCACTCTCTTTTGTTAGATCTCTTCTGCTTATCCCGTCCCACATAGCGAGTCAGAGGAAGAGGTGGCCATTGACATGAAATACGAGCAGTCGATGTACCAGCTTTATAAGACCATCAATCCAACTGACGTTGTCCTCGGATGGTATGAGATGGAAATATATTGAATTACGTTTGCTTGATTTATTTATTAATTTTATAGGTATGCAACAAACTCCACTATTAAGATGCACTCTGTCCTCATTCACGATTATTACAGCAAGAGAGACCCGCCTCCTGTCTACCTCACCTTTGATTGTAAGATGAGGAGTGGACGATTAGACATCAAAGCTTACGTCAGGTATGTATAATACAAAAAAAGATTATAATAATGTCTCTTTCTTTTGTTTCAGGTGTTCTTTAGGCGTTGAAACAAAAGGCTACATCTTTTCTCCTATCCCAATCAAAATGGCGTACTACGATCCAGAGAGAGCGGCTGTCAATCTACTCAGGCAGAGCATATCAACGGATACTAACGAGACTCCAATTAAAACTGGTTTAGAACGTTTTGAAAATGTTCTAGGCAGCCTTGAAGACTCAATCGATGGTCTTTTGGCATACGTAGAGAAAGTGAAGGTTAGAAGAAAGCCAAAAGGTGGGATTTTGTTATTGTATCATTTTGTAGAGTGGAGATATACCAGCTGACAGTAAGATAGGACGTCTTTTGATGGAGCTCGTTTCAAAAGTCCCCAAATTGGATCCAAACCAGTTTGACAAGATAATGAACAACACAACACAGGCAAGAAAAATACAGTGTCAAGGAAAAATATTCTCTCTCTGTATTTGTAGGATCTCCTCATGATAGTATACTTGACTAATTTGACAAAGACTCAACTGGAATTAGGCGAACAAGTAGCTCACATACCTTCTAATTGATTCCTATTAAGAATTGTGTTTTCAATGAACAATATTAAATTATATAAAAAAAAGAAATAAATTTCATTTGATGTTGCTTAGCTCTCTCTTTTTCCCCTACTTCTCCAATAATGATTGAATGTTGAAAGAAAAGAATATTTGTCATCGTGGTAAAGGTGATGTTAGCTCATTTGATTTTCAGTTTCTTCCTCTTTCTTTGAACTATCTGACTGTGTTGTCTCCTGTGTCGCTGTAGAATAGACAGAGACGCAAGAGAGTAAAGGATAATTTCAAAATGCTCCCGTACTATAGTAAAGGGTCATTTTTATAATTTTTCTTGATACATATACACGTTCTTATGCTGTATATCAAGTTTGAGCTGATTCTGATCAAATTTGAATTTTTTATGAATTTCTAAAGTTGCTCAAAATTTGAGCCAAAGTCCCTGTACTATAGTACAGGGCGTTGGCTGAATTTTGTCAAAAATGGCTAGGAGAGAATTCTTCATTTTTATAATTTTTCTTGATACATATACATGTTCTTATGTTGTATATCAAGTTTGAGCTGAGTCTGATCAAATTTGGATTTTTTATGAATTTTTAAAGTTGCTCAAAAATCAGGCCAAAGTCCCTGTACTATAGTACAAGGTCGTTGGCCAAATTTCACCAAAAATGGCCAGGAGAGAATTCTGCATTTTTATAATTTTTCTTGATACATATACACGTTTTTATGCTGTATATCAAGTTTGACCTGATTCTGATCCAATTTTAATTTTTTATGAATTTTTAAAGTTGCATAATTGTCAGTTTATGAAGCAGGATTTTTAGCTCACTTAGCATTAGCATGCTTTGAATGTGTATAACAAAGTAATTGAAGTCATTCCTATTAGTACTTTAATTCAAAATATTAACTAAAAGTACATTACACCAAAATGCATGAAACAAAACCTGTTACCTTTTCCTTTCTTGTCTTTTTTCTCTTTCTTTTCGAGGCGGAGTTTCTCAAGTTCAATTTCCTGCCTTTTGTGAAATACAATATTTGAACCCAAAAAACAATACATGTACATGCATACCTCTTTAACTCCATGTCCAATCTTTTCTTTTTCAATGCTTCCACGTCCTTCAAGTATTCTACAAGAAACTCTTCTCTAGCGGAATCAACAGCTTTAAAAAACTCATCAACACCAGTTCCCAATATAGAAGACACGCCCACAGACTATAAAAGTATAACAATAATAAAATACTCACACACACACGTACGGTTAGATTTTCATAAAATTTATCCAACACTAAACTCATTGAGCGTGTGAGATTGCTTGAGTATGAATCCTAGAATTAATAATAATAACAATAATAATAATAACGATAATAATAATAATAAAACAATAATAATGATGATGATGATAATAATAACGATAATAATGATAAAACTTAATTTACATCATCATCAAGAGCTTTATCAAATGCTTCAAAGTCTTTCATCCATTCCTGAGCAAACTTGTGATCCACAATATCCGTCTGTACATGTACATGTACGTGTTTGTGTGTGAGAGAGAGATAGAGGGGTAAGATGAACCGTGTCTCACATCACTAGCAAACCTTATTTAGTACAATGATGAATGGCAACTGAAACTTGTACAGGATACTACAAATGAAAAAAGATAAACGTTCATAACTCCAAACATCCTCTCCCTTCTCCCCCTAACCTGCAAGCATACAACATGTTTGACATGAAAGTAACCGGACTGACGCATCTGACAGTATCAATAACGTACACTATTACTGTAGGAAACAATGAAGCCTACATGAAAAAAGAGAAATAGTAAAATTTCTTGAACTCTCTTTCTCTTCTTACTAAGCTCTCAGCGATAATACTGCCAGAGGCTGACCAGGTAAAGACTTCAATCTGACCCGGTGTGTCAAAAATGACATACCTAAAACAGACTCGGTGATCCAAGACTCATGATAAAGTATCATCATTGAACTGACTTGATTTCTGGTGGCTGCTTGTCAACGAAGCTGATCACCTGATCCATTCTGGTTGTGAATAGATTCAAAGACGTGACAATGGCGCCGTTTGGACCGAGGCCATACTGGGACATGATGCTTTTATAATTAACAGTGTCTCGAATGTCTAAAATTAATTAACAAGGTGTGGTCATTGATTAATTAATATTAATGTTCACACCATGAATGGCAGAAATAGAATTAATGTTACCTATGTTAACTGGATAGGGTACGACCTGTACAGCCGGGTCTAGATTAACCAGGTAAGGTGGACGCTTTTGTTCGCCTAAAAAGGACGTTATTCTCTAGAAAGTGAGTTTGTTTTCAGTAATTTTAAAGTGAGAGGTTTTGCAAACTTGAACAAATGTGGTTTTCCCGGATCCTGCCATACCAAGGACTATTATGCACGTCGGTTTGTTGGTGCTAGAAGCTCCTTCAGACGGAGAAGGTCCTTCTAAACCTGCCATACACTCAGCCATGCTTTCACATAAGGTGCAAGTGTACGGAGAGAAACGAAGGCACCACACTCCGTGTAATGCATAACACGTGTTGACATGTGGCTAGCCACGTGAACGCACGTGTGCACATCAAAAATTATTGATAAAAAAATGATCTTGATATTTAAGTTTGTCTCTACACTAAACGACACACTACACATCCAGAGAACATACAAAACAGATAAAAGAAGCGTCTTGATGTGTACACACATCTCCATACATTAACAAAGCAATAGAATAAAATCCACTCTTGTAGTGATGAGAGGTGAGCTAAGGGTATACAGGGTAAGTGGTTGGCATCCATTTCAAACAAGATGCATCAATCGTAAGATCACTCGACTTGTGTCTCTCAACTTTACAAGAATGTTCCTCTAGCAATTCCTACAATAACAAGTGGTAGTGTATTGTGACCAGGCAGTAATGAGGTATACTACAACATACCTTCTTCTTTATGATGATGTGCTTTCCTTTCCAATATTTTAAAATGCGATAATATTGTAGACTACTGATGAGATCATCAGCACTGATGCCAGTCTCAAGACTTATCTCTAAAGAAATAAGAGGAGAATATATAAAATGGAGAGAGAGAGAGAGAGAGAGAGAGAGAGAGAGAGAGAGAGAGAGAGAGAGAGAGTAGGTAACCTTTCATTGATATACTCTGTGAGTTGTGTTTCGTTAGATAACTTAAAACTTTATCCTTCCAGTAACTCCGATAGCAGAGAAGCCCCAGGTCTGAGAGGGGACGCTCTGGCGACCCGACCTTCTCTTGGTGCCTAGTTAATAGGTAACCTAGGGAAAGCTCACGTGACAATACAACAACAGGAACTGACTGAAATCAATGAGGAGGTGACCGTACCCACGTCTCATGTGAGGTGGCATCACTAGTATACACGAGACATTGAATCCTTGAGGCGAATGCTTCTCCTATGAAGCAATGTTTGTGATACACCCACTCACTTAATTGCTACTCATACCGTACCTTTGAAAAGTATCCAACTATGTGACAGCCGGTGTCATCATAGCGTGTGACAATGTAAAAGAGGAAAGGCTCCACGTTAAAGTATAGCGTCTTGTGGTCAAGAAACAGCTTTGCCAAGAGGCAGAGATTCTGGCTGTACTCCTAGAGGAGAAGCATTAGGAATAAATGGAGTCGCTTTAGTTGAGTTACTTTATGATTTTCTCCGTCGACTTCGAAAACGGAGAGAGTGTTCTTCCGATAGATCTCTCTACCTGGAGGCCTCCTCTGGACACAACATGACTAACATAAAATAAATAGATAAAAAATAGTACCACAGCATATAATATACAGACATATCCTAAAGTATACTGGCATATCCTGAAGTATACTGACAATACTAAACTCACAGTGTGATTGTTATAAGTCACGACCGTCTTGTAATATCTGAGACAAAACTCACACACGTATATCTGAGACAGTTCAGTGTATTCTGGTGGGTAGGGAGAAGAGTACCACGTATCAATCTCATAGCAGCCAAAAATAATCTTTGATAGTTTATAGTCAGTATGCTTCCCTTCTACATCTGTGCCCTGTATGAGAGGAAGAGAGAGACAAAAGGATAGTAGGAATATAATAATAGAGGAGAGGAAGAAAGGCAAAAGATGAGTCCGGGTTTTTTAATGTTTACTGACCAGTTGTTCTCTCATTTTGGCCTGAGCTTCACGAAACAGCTGAAGGTCCTGAGATGACGTGAGTCCTTCAAGCTTTGGCTCCGGCCTAAAGTAATACTCGGGCATCCTAAAGCGCTTCTTGTTATCCTTAAAGAGTGAGAGAAAGTATAAAAATAAGAAAGAGAGTAATAAATCAAATACAGCCAGAAACTTGCAGGATTCTTTTGGCATTGTACAGTACATATTATTCAAAGAGCAATGCAAACAAGAAGGCAGATCAGCCACAACACTATAACTAACATTAGGTGGGAGGGTCTTAAAACTAGGAGTATTATTAGGAGGTAAGGGATCCCCAATGGCTACACTGTCGAGAGTAGCCGAGAGGTTTCTTGAAGCCATAAGACGAGGGTTTTTCCTTGGAGGAGGAGACAAAGCAGACTCTGACTCTAAAGTCTGACTAGCTTGAGCACGACTCTTGTTCAACTCATCCCTACGCGACTAAAAGGGAGAGAAAAAGAGCTAAATATAGTCGTGAAGACATAGTGCAAAAATTGTCATTCGTTTACTGAATTTATCTTAATTATGCACGCCATTCACTGACTAATACTCCACTCATTCTCACTCGCTTACTTTGCATTCCTCTGGTGTTTTACCATGAGCCAATGGACAGCCAGAGACAGCATAGTGCATGCTATAAAGTCCAGTGATGTGACCTATGCCACCACAACCAGGAGTAGGGCAGCGGTTACCCTTAACTGCTTCAACTAGTGTATACGGTATTCTCTTCCTCTTTTTAACCGAGCTGTCCTTACTCGTGCTCTCAGCAGACGAAGGTGGTTTCACGGACGAGCTCTGAGGGTTAGAATCAGTCTGTTTTGAAGATGATCTAGGAAGGAATGGTCAAATAGTAACACGAGTCAACCTGCCTTTTAAGCATATGGATATGTGTTTAATGTATAATACACTCTACATTGCGTATAAAGTGTGTGATAAGATAAAACCTAATTACAATAATTACTCATTTCATATAATGCAAAAATAACAAGTACATGTGCATACATTGTAAGTTTATGTCTTACAATCGAGTGGTAGGTGCTTTTGACAATGTCTCTGTCTCTCCGATGGCGTGTGGCTCATTAATAGGAGGAGTCACTCCAGTCTTAGATGCTCCATTTTGTGCAGGAACTTTCTTCTTGTAGGATCGGAACCGTCTTTTCTTTTTCCTGAAGCTTGGATGGGGCGGGGGCGGGCGTGGCGGCTTGATGACATCCTAAACACAAAAATAAATAAACAATATTAGCAATAATAAGAGTACTTCACCTTTTCTAGTTCTTTCTTTGCCTGAGCAGCGATAGGGCATCCAGACACAGCATAGTGCATGGCATACAGACCAGTGACGTGGCCTAGGCCATAACAACCAGAAGTAGGACAGCGAATTCCTTTAGTAGCTTCAACAAGAGTATAGGGTATCCTCTTTCTCTTTTTAATGAGGTTTGATGTACCGGGTAGGGTCGACGGTGATGGGAGAGGAGCACGAATAGGCGTGGCCTATTAAAACAAGCATTAGGATTCATGCTTACATGCATCATTATCTTAAGTACTGCCCACAATCAATTTGTTTATTACCTTGGTTTCATTTTCGATTTTAGCAGGCGTGGTCGCTGTTGATGAAGAGGGAGTGATAACGTCCGAATTTGACGAGTTAGTCCCCGGAGGGAGGACGAGGGAAAGGCTGCCAGTCTGTGGGAACGTCCCTCTCTCGTCTTTCTTGGCAGATTTTATGGGCGTGGCACATTTTCTCAGTCTTCGGCCCCTCCTACCGATGTTGGGCGGAGTGGGAGTGGACTGGGTGCTTGCATTGGCTGAGGTGGTCCCACTACCGACCTCTCCTGACATCATTCAAAAGTCATACACAATCTACAAAAGAGAGGTGCTCTGTCTTTGGACTGACAAAGCAGTCTTTGGAACAAGAACAGGAAGGTGTCTTGCTTAGAGTAAAATGAAGGAAGTCGGTTCTTTTTATGCCTTTGGTTGACCTAAAGAGGAGAGAAAGGAGAGAAGAGAGAAGGTGAGACTGAGAGAGAATGAATGACTTGTGCAGAGGGTTATTTTTATAATGGGCGGAGTTTATTTGATTCCGTGTCATCTCCGAATATTTTAGAAATATTTTACCAATAGCATACTCTCGTTTTAGTCCGGACTTTCTTAAACACGTGCTCTGTAGGGGCCATTTTTGTTCTTTCTCTCTCTTTGTTCCTTCTTTAAAGATGCAGATTTTTGTCAAGACTCTCACTGGGAAGACCATCACGCTAGAGGTCGAGCCTTCTGATACCATAGAAAATGTAAAGGCCAAGATCCAGGACAAGGAAGGCATCCCTCCTGACCAGCAGCGACTCATCTTTGCTGGTAAACAGTTGGAGGATGGTCGAACCCTCTCTGATTATAACATCCAGAAAGGTATTTTTTTGTGTGTGTGTCATAAGAGTGTCTAATATATTTTTGACGCCTTTTAGAGTCCACGCTACATTTGGTACTTCGTCTAAGAGGAGGAGTCATTGAGCCTTCGGCTAGGATCCTTGCTCAGAAGTATAACTGTGACAAGATGATCTGCCGAAAGTATGTCATCAAGGACTATGTATAATTTTTCATTATTACAATTTGGACTGTATGCAGTCTTACCGTATAGCGGGAAGATTGGCAGTGCTTACTAATGCCAGTTTTATCATTAATCCATCAATTGCCAAATAAAATTCAACCAATTTTTCCTGTTATGTTATGGTATCAAAATGTTCGTTGTTAAAAGTACAGTAAAAGGTGGTGAGTCTTCCACCAGTTGGTGGACTTGTGTGTATCTTTTACTCTACGAAGCAACGTATATCAAATCTTTGGGTCTTGGAAAGGTTTTGTGTTATCATACAATCTCTTTCACTCCCCAATGTACATTATACCAGAAAATATGAATTATTTTATAGTAGCTTTTTTGTTCACTTAATACAATAATTTCTGTACTTATTAGGTGTTATGCTCGGTTGCCTCTTCGCTCCACAAACTGTCGTAAGAAGAAGTGTGGGCACAGCAGCAACCTCAGGCCCAAGAAGAAGCTCAAATAAAATAATGATGACACTAGTTGCTTTATCCTTCCATTGATTGTATGAACATCATTTGTTCTTATTGTTAATGAGATTTATTAATAATTTGTTCAAAATTTTTACTGCCTAGTTGCTGTTGAGCATTAGTCTGGTTGAATTTTTGAAATGCAATTAGATTATACTGAATATAAAAAACTGTACTCAATAAAATGGATTTATGCGCAGTTATTTTGGAACAGTGTGGGCGTGGCTCATTCGGATTGTACGTACACGTGTAAATTATTGACAATGATCAGGTGTTTCTTTTCTGCACGAGATCGTCACACAAAAGCAGGTTCTCTAAAGTAAAGTCTGAACAAGCAAGGATTAATGATGGAGATGGAAATAGACTGCTCACAGATGATAGATGTTAAGAAGCAAGATTTCTCCGTGGTACGCAAGATGATGAAAGACTATTGGGAGGATTGGGCAGCCTACCAGACAGAGAGTGGGACGACAATGGAGCTAATGGTTGGAGAAAAGCACTACAACGTAGCAATGCAGTTCTACGACCTGGATAGGATGGACGTGCTTGGCGCTCTACCGAAATTAGCAGGAATGGACGTCCTGGAGCTTGGAGGAGGATCGGGGTAAAGGCAGCTGTTTATGAAATTTAGTTTTGTGTTGATAACGAGAGCACATTCCTCTCATTAGATTAAAGATGCAGTAGTTAGATCTAGTACTTTTGCTTTTAGAATAATTATGTTCTTTTATCAATAGTCGATATTCGGGTGAGCTGGCAAAGAGGGCAAAGACGGTGATATCGACTGATTTGATAGAGTCATTTTTAAAAGAGAATGAAGAAAAGAACGGCCCCTCTCATCCCAACCTCTCCTTTAGAGTATTGGATGCTGCCCAGCTGGACTATCCTCCTGCCTCTTTTGATATGATATTTACTAACTGGCTCCTAATGTATCTTAACGATCAAGATACTGAGAGGTTTATTCAAAATGCAATAATGTAAGCTAAGCAGAGCAAGCATGTAGGGACTATACTGATTTATTATGATGTGTATTTTGGCACTTTTAGGATGCTCAGACCAGGTGGGTATATATTCCTAAGAGAGTCTCATTTTAAACCAGCTGGCCACAGGATCCAGTCAGTTAATCCAACCATATATCGATCAATGATGGTAATGAAGCAATCATATTATATTATACTGTAATATTATTAATATGTGTTTGACCTTTTGATGCTGCTGCTGCTGAAATAGACATGTCATAGTAGATTATTTATTTTAATATTGTCATTGTTTATTTTCCCACTGTTGCTGATGTTTTAACAATAATGCTCTGTAGTTTCAATTAGAAGTATATTAACTATGATTTGCAGTGCATTTCAGTTTCTTATCAGTACATGCCCTCACATGGAATCGATGTACATTTTATCTTTTTTATCCTTTAGGAATATTACGATTACTTTGCTAATGTCCGCTACACTGACGAGAAAGGTGACACTTATTTCTTTGAGTTCCTAAACGGAGGAAACTGTCAGACCTACGTCTATCGTAAAGCGAACCCAAGCCAAGTCTTCTACTTGTGGCGAAAGACTAAAGTGACTCAATCCCCTAGCATGATATCGGTCCAAAGACTCTTGGACGATGCACTGTACTCACCCGAGAATATGACTGTCTATGAGAGTGTGATTGGGGATGGGTTTATGAGCCCTGGTGGTTTGGACTTTTCTAAGGTATGGAATACATTATATACAGTTATGACTGTATCCAATGTATGTACTTGTATTTGTGTGTGTATGTATATCTATGTATGAGTGTTTGGGCTACACTGAAACCACAATACAAGCTTCCTGGCAGTGATTATTAGTTGTTGTGGCCAGTAGTATTGTTCTCTTGTAAAGGGAATATATAAAGTTATTGAAGTGAATAATGTGAATTGTGCAATAACAAATAACAAATCTTGTTCACACCTCAAGGTGTAAACAAGGTGTCAGAAACAAAAATATTTTCAAGACAAAAAATTTATTAAATTATTATTTTTATTGAATTAATTTTATATTTTAATGAAGAGATGGTTTGTCATTGTGTAGGAGTTATTGAGCAAACTGAACTTAACCTCTGACTCTGTTGTATTGGACGTTGGCTGTGGACTTGGTGGTCTTGCATCTTATTTGATAAAAGTATAAGAATCAAATAACAGCTGGAATGACTCTCCCTCCTCCTCTCTCTCTCTCTCTTTTAGGAGTGTGATGTTGATTGCGTTGGTTTAGAGCTGTCAATGGTGGCCAGTCAAGCTTCAATACTGAGGCTGAACTCACTCTCAGTTAATAAGGTAAAGGAGGAGGGAAGGAGCAGCTGTTAATAGTATCTGCTTGGCAGGGACGCATGCACATTGCTGATGTAGTACGTACTAATTTTTCCGAGAGCTCCTTTGATGCCATCATTGCTAGAGAGACTATTGAATATGTTGGAAGGAAGAGTTTACTCTTTAAGAAAGCACTGGTGAGCTTGTTTGTATTGTGCCCACCTCTCTGTCTATTTCCTATTGTATATTGATTAGATAAGAGCTTCTTTATTTTCCACATACATTTGCTATACACATTTAGTCTTGGCTGAAACCAAAAGGGCAACTACTGTTAGGTGAGTATTGTCTAGGAAAGATGGAGCCACTGAGTATAGAGACAGAAGAGATACTCCACTCAGAAGGAATGGACTTATTAACTATTGAGGACCTCACACAAGTAAGCTGTGGCCTATCTGATTATCATTACAATGGAGGGACCCCTTTTGTTTCCACAGCTGCTCAAGAATGCTGGCTATGTTAACATAAAGACTGAGGATTATACTCATTTATACGTACAGTACATTAAAGAGGACCTATCCAAACTGACACTCACTGAGGTAAGGAAAGGTGACCTTTCTCTTTTATAATGTATTCTTTTTCTTTCCAAAGGGTCTACCAGAAGGAGTAAGGATTCATTTTACTAACTTATGGCAGACTTTGGTCACTGCTTTAAACAACAGAGAGTTAGCTTGGACCCTAGTCACAGCTACATCTCCTGATTCTGAAGGACGCTAGCTAGCAGCTGTCATGCATGTACTTTTATATTTAATAAATCAGGCCTATAAATATATTATAATACCTATGCTGATCATTAATTTTGTTTATAACAAAAACAATTTATTACAAATGATGTTAATAATGATTAATTACGAAAGTGTGAAACAAGCAAAACAAGTGTTTCTTGACTGGTTATTTTCTCATTCATCAGTAATTGCTACACAAAGCTTCTCCTGTATTAAGAAACTAGTCAGTATGTTGTTGATAGATTCATTGCAGCGTTTCAATTGAGACTCCATTGACTGAAGGAGCTCTTCTCTTACTTTGCTGTTGGTTCCTCGTGTAACTGCCCGTGATCTGAGGGAAGAGTGGGGGAGAATAAAGTAGAAAACTTTCTCTGTGTTTATCCATTATGTGTTCTGTTGCTTCTACCTCTCTTTCTCTCTTACCTGGGGTGGTTCTCTTGATTTAATATGTTGATTTTTGTGTTTGTGTGATTAATAATGTACATCATTTCCTCCAATATGTCAACAACTATGCGTTAAGCAAAAAACAATTTCAATTTTTAAAATCATAAAACAAGCAAGTGGCTTGCTTAGTATAAAGACTGCTTAGAGGGTTGGGGGACATACCAACAACATAATTGAAGAACTTTTGATAAGTGAAACTTCCTCTTTTCTTAATGAGAGACATCAGTGGCATCAGAGGAGAGGGATCTGCTTTATTTCTTGTCCAATTATATTGTAATAGTACTAACAACTGGCCAATAGCTACGTCAGTACATGCATCAGAAAATACTACGTCCTAAAAATATTTAAGCACTATTACATAATGCATATTTTTAAATAATAATATTGATTATTTATTTTTATTTATTATTATTGATACCTTAACTGCATATGTTATAATGTTAATCACGTATGGTAGAATGGACTCGTTTGTACATCCGATCAAATAAAGTGAGCGACCTTTAGAATAGTATCAACAAAAAGTAGCGCAACACAATGACTCACTAGGGACCTGTCCTGGTGGTGGTGGTGGGGTCTCTGGGTGACTATGTCCCTCCACTTTATCGTCCGGTAAAAGTCCAACCAGTTCCGTTGCCAAGTTGCATGCATTCTGAAAATCAACACCCACGCATAATTAAGCATCAAATTTGATAAAACGATACCTTTATGTCGCCTAATAATAGATAGGAATTGACCAGCTGTAATAAAACTCTGACATTTTCAAGCTACAAATTAAGAAAAATACGTTTAAAAAGTATAGCTCTATAGTTCCGTTACTTTCTCTCTTTCATTTGCTTTCATTTTCTGTCTTTCGTGTTGGAGGATTCTTCTAACTGCTTCAATATCTCCTTTATAAAGCATCATGTCTGCTTTAAAAGCAACCAGCCATGACCAATCTGATGTGTTCCACTGCTGACAGAGACGACTAAACTCTGAGGAGAAAAGAGAGAGAGAGGGGGGAGAGAGAGTGAGGGGAAAGAGGAGAGAGTGGTACTACTAACCACTGCGATAAGTATTGCAAGAATGGAGGAAGTTATAGCAATCAATTGCAACGAAAAAATTCTCCAAGTGAGAATCGCTGGATTTCGTGCCTGCAAAAATTATTAAAGGAGAAGAGAGTATTAAAAGGGTAGGAGTACATACATACAACACATTATAATAGACGTTATTGCATACCAGGTGTCTGTAGATTCACCAGTACCGAGTGGGCCTGCTGCTCCTCTTGCTTCTTTTTCACTTTCAAAAATCTAATAAGAATTATCAATTATACTGACAATATATATACATCAATGGCTACCTAGACTCAAGAGAAACATCTTCAATTAAAGCCCAACACTTTGCAGAGTCTGCAACATCATATTTCATTAATCAGACCGATATTAGAGGGGCTTACTCTCCGTTATTTGGTGGACGTGTGAGTAATAGGACCAAGCTGTCTCGAAGAAGAGGAACACGCTGATGTAGAAGCAAGCAATGGCTACTTGTCTTGGAGGGTCAAAGGGAACTCTTTGAGACGAACTGAATCCGGATACGTACTCTAAACCTTTCCAACGTACCTTGGCAGGTCTGGGAAATAAGATACAATAGTAACTTGAGAACCATGAATGAGGCATACTGATGAGACAGACACCCTGGTACAGCTAGGGCTTGAAATTGGCTTGATTTTTGAGTGACTTTAAAAAATTGTAAAAAATCCAATTTTGATCGGAATCAGCTCAAACTTGATAAATAACATAAGAACATGTACATGTATATGTATCAGAAAATATTATAAAAATGAAGAACTCTCTCCTAGCCATTTTTGGTGAAATTTGGCCAACGACCCTGTACTATAGTACAGGGACTTTGGCCTGATTTTGGAGTAACTTTTAAAATCGTAAAAAATCCAATTATGATCGGAATCAGCTCAAACTTGATAAATAACATAAGAACATGTATATGTATCAGAAAATATTATAAAAATGAAGAACTCTCTCCTAGCCATTTTTGGTGAAATTTGGCCAACGACCCTGTACTATAGTACAGGGACTTTGGCCTGATTTTGGAGTAACTTTTAAAATCGTAAAAAATCCAATTATGATCGGAATCAGCTCAAATTTGATAAATAACATAAGAACATGTATATGTATCAGAAAATATTATAAAAATGAAGAACTCTCTCCTAGCCATTTCTGGTGAAATTTGGCCAATGACCCTGTACTATAGTACAGGGACTTTGGCCTGATTTTGGAGTAACTTTAAAAAATCATTAAAAAATCCAATTTTGATCGGAATCAGCTCAAACTTGATAAATAATGTAAGAACATGTATATGTATCAGAAAATGTCATAAAAATGAAGAACTCTCTCTGAGCCATTTTTGGCGAAATTTGGCCAACAACCCTGTACTATAGTACAGGGACTTTGGCCTGCTTCTGGAGTAACTTTAAAAAATCATAAAAAATCCAATTTTGATCGGAATTAGCTCAAACTTGAAATACAACATATGTACATGTATATGTATCAGAAAAATATAAAAAAATGACAAATTCTCTTTGAGCCAATTTTGAGAAAATGCCTTGTACTATACAAGCAGGTGTAGTACAGTCATATTTTAAAAAGTACATTATTTAAAGTACATAAGTCTATTCAAAGATAGGTCTATTCAACAGACTCACAAGTGAGGGCTGATCTGCTTATTACTAAGTACTATTTGAGCCCAGCCACACTTTTCAGCAACCATCAGAAATATCTTATGAAGACACTCCCAAGCAGCCTTCCCTGATAATGAAGATTGCCCAATGGCTACTGAAGGAGACAAATAAGAGGAAAAAGAGAGAGAGAGAGAGAGAGAAAGATCAGGGAAAGGGATAATAAAATATTTAAAAGCAAGCAAAAGCTGACAATTTTTCCCTCCGAGTGTCCTCTCAACTGTAATGGTCGTCAAGTAGCAGGCAGAGACTTCAAGCCATTGGCATATGTGACTGGTCTTAAGGACGAGAGTTTGACCGGATGATCTCAACGTGGGTTGGTCTATGACGATCCATCCTGACGTAGCAAGGAGTGGGATCAATTCCGTCACTATTATAAATAACATTAATTGCATGTATAGTGTTATTATAATTCTGGAATAACTGTATAGTGACCTAGTACGTTCCTGTGAGAGTCACTGACAGCTGAAGTACAAGTACCAGAAGAAGATTGAGCTAGTGAGTCGTACAAGTCAAGCTATATAGGGAGAAGATAAGGTTATAAAAATTAATACCGTATAGCCGGAAATTTTGGAGGGAGTAAAATTTGGCGAATTGCTAAATTTTGGTTATTGGCAGATTTTAATTTGGCGAATTAGTGGCCACGTGCCATTGAGCATGCGTATAAAGGCTCAAAATGACGGTTTTTATTTTGGCGAATGAAACTCTATTCGCCAAATTCGCCAAATTTTTGTCCCTCCAAATTTTTGTGCTATACGGTAATGCGTTCCTGTACTACCGTATAGCGGGATTTATTGACGAGTAAAAAATTTGAGGAAAACAGTAAATTTCCCCGGTTGGCGAATTTAAATTTAACGAATAGTGCCCTTCGTGTACACGTGGCACAAAGTACAAAATTTTTGACGGTTATTAAATTTGACGTTTTATTTTAAATCGTCAACTCGTCAAAATAAAACCTTTGTCAATAAATCCCGCTATACGGTATAATATTTATGACTATACAGCTTACTCCAAGGGTTGTTACTGTTTCCGGAAACCGTTTCAGAATTACAATTGTTATCTTTGCTCTCCATAACACATCCACAATATTCTCTATTATAATTAATAATTAATAGTTATTACAGGCTCCGCCTACCTGCCGTCCCAATTAAAACAGTCTTTTGACTTGACGGAGGCAACAGCTCAAACACGTCTCTCAGCTCTGATTTTGACTCTGCCCCTTCCAAACTATCGAGTCCACTCAGTTCGTCAACGAGTTGTCCGACTAACTTTTGAAGCTCCTCCTCTTTCTGGAAGCGAGTGCACCTGTACATGTACATGTATTTTTACGTAGATATGGCACACAATATATCGATCTTACAATTCAACGAGCGTTTGGGCTGCACCTTGGAGCTCGTTGCATGCCAAATGAAGTTTGAAGGCCTCATACTAAAATGGGCGTGGTTAAAAAGTAGGAGGGGCTACAAAATGGCATATACCTGCACAATGAATCTGAAAGGGAAGAGAGATTTAGCCGTCAGAATCCAAGCATGCGCTTCATGGCGTAGGTTTTCTTGGAGCTTCTCCTTTGCCTTTTGAACTATCCACAGACAATCGTCTTCTTCGATACTTGGCATTTTATTAATTATTATTATTAACTAAGTAACGGCTTCCCGCCCGAGTTGCCGGGTAATTAGACCACACCTACAACGTGGAGGAGGATCAGGAGGAGGGGCTAAGCATTCTTAAATCTTCGACATAATTAAAATTATTCGTGCATGGCAAAAAGTACCGAGGATTCCTCTTTCAGAGTACAATCTCTACAACAAACTTTAAAGTCATGTTTGGATGGTGAATGTAGCAGGTTCAATGAAGCATTGGGCGGTGAGTCTCTTTGTGATATGTCTTCAAGTTTGCTTGCAGCTAAACTAATCTCGAAAAGCGTCAATAATTACAATGCCATCAATGAAGACCTCAAAAATACTATAAGTTCTTTGGAGTCTCTAGAGAAACTGGAAGGTTTCTGCTTGCACCTCATAACAGTAATGGAAGGCATTTCCGAACCAATCAAAAAGGCAGCTAAACACTTAGAGACCTCCATATTGAAAGAAGCTCAGGAGAGCCTGGGTGTAACACTTAATATTAGGAAGTCATCGATTCAAGATACTGAAAGCCAACCAAACAGCACATCTGCTCATCAGAGGCCTATGCCTCCGAAAAAATGGCCTCACTATTCACATGAACTAGGACGCACACTTCGTGTTTTTCCTGAAATAAAACATGGGCTAGGGGAGGATATCAGTTTTAGCAAGCCAGCACGTCTTATGTACAATGAGATTGTATCAAAAACGTACTACAATAGACAACATTCTGAAATAACCCAAGACTATCAAGAGAAGTCTGTGTGGTCGTATTGCACTGAGTCTAATATATCACCAATGTCAGATCCAGAGCCAGTGTCACCAGATTTTCCACCAGTGTTTTGCCATCGACGGCGTAACACAACAATAAATTCTGAATCGGATTCAATGCAGATTAGATCATTCCTTAACAACGAATTGCAGAAAAAAGTAGAAACATTAGAAAAAGAGAATATTCGCTTGAAGGAAAGGCTAAATTCTAGGAGCACAAGTATTGATCCGTCCAGTACATTGCAATATGACTCTGAGAGTTTTCAAGAAGGTGAAATGGTCTCGGGAAGGAGACTTTCATCCTCTACTGGACATGTAGCAGAAGAAACATCAGAACTATATATCCATAGTTGTGAAAATAAAGACTGCCAGATAGAGATGCTCAAATTTCAGTTGAGGGAAAAAGAGAGGGCACTTAGGGAGAAGACAGCTGAATTCCAGGAGTTAAAGGAAGAGAAAAATCGTCTCTTGAATCATTTTTTGAAGTAGTAATGGAAAAGAAAGATCTAAAAATGTAACAATAAGTTTACTATTTTTGTTAGCTGGATATTTATTATTTTTGTTGTTGAAATAATAAAACAGTCATTCCAGGAACAATTCAATGATATTCACAGCCACATCACACCACACTAAAACCACATACTACATTATGATCCTATCATCATAACAGCAGTGCAAGGTTTCTATTAACGTATACTGAAACCGAAAATAGTTTTAAAATAAAGAACATTATTATGATTCATAAATAATAAACTACAAAAATACTATCATTGTTTAATGTAAACTTCAATTTTGTCTCCATCCTTCATGCGATACGTATACAAAGCCTTTGACTCTATCCTCAGCTCCTCCCCTCCATAAATCTTGGACCCCTCATCATCATTATAATAGACTCTGAGCTTGGACGGAGGTACGAGAATCCTACGCCCGATCCACCGTCTAAACTGACGTGTCGTCTGCATAATATCAACTTCAATGGCCTCATCTGGTCTCTCAATGCCTTCATAAGTGAAAGTCATGTTTGCTACTCTTGGTGCTTCTAGAGAAACTTGGACCAGCGGCTGCAAGTGACCATGCTTTTCTAACAAGCGTCTGTAAGCATCAGGAGGATTAGAGTGATCTTTGTATTCTCTCAGAAACCATCTCTCAGCGTCTTGTCTTTCTTCTCCGGATATTACGCTCTTGTTGAGGTAAGACACAAGGGGCAGGCGGGCAATGGCTGCAAAGCGACTCTCTTTCATTGTCATATTTTGATAGAAAGGAAGACGCAGTAGAGAGACGTGCCTTAGACGAGGGTAGGCCCCCAGTCTCTCAACTTCATCCCAAGAATCAAGCTGAGAGTCGTTTAGATTTATGGACTCAAGGACCCGAAAGAGAGAAGACCCTGAGCCACTAGAATGTAAGATTTTCTGTAATGGATTAGAATTGAGAATGAGGGAGAGGAGATTTGGAAAGAGAGCTCCGATGCACTCAACACTGAACCACTGTGAGAGCTGGTTTTCGACAAAATAAAGCTTAGAGACTTTATGATGCACCAGTCTACCATCCTCCCTTTCTCCATCTAACGCCTGAAGTATATCAGAATCAGTGTACTGATTGCAGCTGAGATGAAGCTCAGACAAACTAGAAAAGGAAAAAAAATAATAATCATCATTTATAGCCTCAAATACAAAACTAGTAAGCTATACTACAACAATACTATTAATATTTTTGACTCTATCATGTATGCATGCTATTAAATTTTAGTCCCTTGTTCACTTACTTTGGCAGAACTGGTAGAGATGTCACTACAGTCTTAAAGGGAACTCCAGTGCAGCTAAGCTGAAGACAGACTAATGAGTCGTGTGGACAAGGAAGAGGAAGAGTAGGTGAAGCAGCACCTGATAGAGTCCTGTTGAGGGTGAGATTGAGATTTTCTAGTAATGGCATTGACGAAATAATAGCAAAGATCTACATAAGAAAGAACGTCGAAAATTAAAAAAAAAACAAGAGCTCTTCAGGTGCAAATAAAGATTCTCATTAGCAGTGGGTAAACATAAAAGGAGAGGGAGAGACTTACCGCCTCCCAGTCTTTTATCAAGTTATTTATCATGTGAAGCGAGGTTAGCTTCGGACACATTGAGGAGAGCTTTTCAACCGGGCCACTCTCAGATATGCCTTTATCATCAACAGTAATGTTCTTCCTCTCCTCTACTGGAGAAGCACCTAAATATCAAAGAAGAAATAGTACAACTGTGTTATTTAATGAATAAATTTAAAGTTTCATTATCATAATCAACAATAAACAGCACCTGCAGGAACTGAATACAAATTTAAGCTACATATGTTCTAAAAATAGATTGTGCAAATTAATTAGCTTGCCATTAAAATTGAAATTATCACTTTAAAATTTCAATTTCTTGCCTGGTTTGCTTTTAGGCGAGTGCTCCTTAATGACCTGAAACACTGGGAGTACCTCGGGATTGAAGAACTCCTCTGGTCCGCTGCAGTACTTGTCTGTGATGGCATCCACCAAAGTAACTACTACTGTCCTGGAATCTTTCTCTTCTGCTCCAGTCTCCATGCTACAGGCCGAGCCCTTAGCCACCGCCATCTCAACTCTGTAGTCTATTATTATGTTTATGAGCTTCTCTTTTATATGAAAAGACTGAAAATTGGACACGTCATAACAAAGGACATCATCAAGTTTACAACTTCATTATTTACGTGGGCGTAGAATAAGCACGCCCACCAGAAATAGGTGGGGCTAGAGTCTGCTGCCAATTTTAGAATGGCCCTAAAGAGAGAATACAAATTTTATGTGAAAGTAAAATTGATTTTAAAACTGCTTGCGCTCCATTGATTTCTTTATGAGTAGGCTTCACCTGACGGGCGAGGTCTAGGTGACTGTCCTTTTACACACAGAGCCAATATAGGCCTCAAAGCTAAAGGTAAAATCCTCATCAATCCTTGTAATCATTATATTATTGCTGTCTAAAAAGGTGTGACGGATGTGAGTCTAGTCTTGATTGATCTCTCAAACAAGCCAGAATGGTATAAGAAGCTAAATCCAGCTGGATCAGTCCCTGCCCTCCAGTAAGACAGCTGCCAATGTAATAGTTTCACTAGCCATTTCCTTGTTTGGGTGGAGAATGGACTGTATACATAATGTATCACTATTATGTATCTACCTTTACTTGCTCCTGTTAGATATGATGATGAGATTATTACCGACTCATACAAGATATTGGAGTATCTGGATGAGACGTATCCAGAGCCTCCACTTAACCCGCCGAATAACAAAGAAGCTGAAGAAGCAACTGGTACGCTAGTCCAAGAATTCACACCATATAACCTTACCCTCTCTTCTTTCTACAGGTCAAATCTTTGGTGCCTTTTCTGCTTGGATCAAGAACACCGATGACTCAAAAGACTCCGAGCTAAAGGAAGCATTTGAAGCCGAACTGGAAAAGATTAACAATTACATGGGGCGCCACTCCTGGTCAATGCTTTGCTCTGATAGCTGGTCCTTTGCTGACTGTGTCCTTGCCCCAAGACTCTATCACATACAGACAGTTGCTGAAGACTTCAAGGGGTACACCCGCTTGAATGAGTACTACAACTTGAAGCAGTACATGGATACGGTTTTTTTAAGTGAAGAGTTTGTCTCTACTTGTTATCCCCGGGAATACATATTGAAGGGATGGGCTAAATATCGCAAATAAACAAAGTCACAGAAACTATGTGAAATTTATTTCTCTCTATTAATCACGTTGATTTGTTTTTTTAGTAGTATATAGGTCTTTTAACATCTTTTAGCTCATAATTATTATCATAACGATAAAGTTTACTTCTTGCTATTATCATTATCGCTATCTATTAATTGTTTTTTTTCTCTCCATGATCATCAAAAATTCATTTTAGCAAAAATCAAAATTCAATTATTACAAAATCATTAATAATTATTAAATTTTATTGGTAAAGGAAATTACGATTATAAGAAAAATCTTAATTGCATGACACACACACACACACACAAATCACAACGAGACGATCCCTGAACCAGCTTTAAGTCTCGGCATCATTGTGTGTGTGTGAGGTGAGATAGAAAGCAATCAAGTCCTAAGTTTTACAGCTTAAGTTACAACTCTTCAATAGCACTACTGCGATCCATTAATCATTCCCTGTATGAGTGCCATTATTATTCTTCTTGATACGATATAATCCCCTCCATCCATCGTAACCACAATCATCCATTGATCCATTAAACCCCTTCATATCACCATCCATGGATACATACATGTAGTATGTTGTAGTAATACCCCTCCATAAAAAATCAGCCACAATCCATTATCGGTATTACATTTATGACATTACAATCTCTTGCCTATAATGCTGCATTTGGTGTAGTAAACAAGGCATAGTGTAGCATTGGCAAAGTCCATTCATTACAAAAAGTGTAATTCCAATTTCAATAGCAAATCCTGCTGCTCCATATTATTCTTAATCTCCATTACGTTCCTTATATAAGTCAGTATGCAGTATTTTTCGTGTGTACGTCTAACTTTCTTGTTTTTTTTCTGGTATAGTCTTTTAATCTTGTCATTTAAAGATAAAAATCTCCCGGCCTTAAATCAAAAAACCACTGCTGATTGATACTAGTCAATGAGAAATCAATTAGTAGAATCAACTCAAAACTGGTATTGTTCACATGTGCATGTAACAGCCTCTGTGTGTGTTCTTCAAAGACCCATTTAGTGCTGCGTTAATTCTGTCAGACTTGCTTTGTAATAGTGCATGGGTGTGTATATATTCACCTAGTCACTGCCTCCTCCTATAGGCCACACAATAATCACTCAAATTCACTTACTGGAGTTGTACTCAGTCACTTTCAATGTCAATATCAACCAACCAACACGTCTTAGCTTTAGATTCAAGTTCGATTCTTTAGTGTACGTGTAGCTTTTCCAACTTCTTTTTGTGAATGTGAGCTTTGAAGTGAAGCAACACGAGGATAAGTGTTCTAGGCTGGGTCTTTGGTGTGATGATTAGTAACAAGTCTGCAGTCGAATGAAGAGAAGAGAGAGAGGGGGGGAGAAAGAGAGAGAGAGAGATAGGGAGGGGGTGACAAAAACAATAACCTAGAGAGATGCATAATAGAAATAAAGAGAGGGAGAGAGGTGGTGAATAAAGAGATAATTGAGAGAATAATGATAATGATAATAATAATAATAATAATAATAATAATAATAATCAAGTGACCAGTGATCGGAATGAGTGTCTGTGGGAATGTACAAATGAAATTCATACAAGTACATACACTCACAAAACAAATAATAATAATAATAATAATGATAATGATATTATCACAATTATAATATAATATATGATACAGTAAAGACATACAATAGGTACATGTATAAACACAAAAAGGTACAGACAATTTATAATGATAATGAAATAAAAATTGAGCAACCAAAAGCCAGTAAAAGAAAGAGAGAGAGAAAGAAAGAAAGAAAAATAGAAGGTGAAGTGTAGAAGTAGTGTGAGTTCCAAGAGAAAGTAGAGCTAGCTTTTGGAGGCGCAAGAGAAAGACCGTTAAGTTTTTAACGGCTTCGCTCCCTCTGACTTTGAAGAGCTAGTCTGGGGAGGAGCCTCGTTGAGTACCTGATACTCAGCCACGTAGAGTCTCTTATCGATTTCCTTTGGGACTGGTTTTATTTCCGTCTTGAGTTGCTGTTCGGTGGAAAAGAGATTGAATCGGTCGTCATGCGTGATGAGATTAATGGCGAGTCCAAGGTGCCCGAATCTTCCGGAGCGCCCGATGCGATGGAGATAGGTTTCGGAGGTCTTTGGGAAGTCGAAATTGATGACAACATTGACTGCTTGAATGTCGATGCCTCTTGTAAGGAGATCTATAGAAGCATGGGAACTGATACTTTAGGAATAAGGAAATTGCTTTTTAAAAATAGGCTATTTTTTAAATGCTCATAACTCAAAAATTACTTGTCGGAATCAACTCAAACTTTCTACGTAGCATAAGAACGTCAATAATCTTTTTGTAAACATATGTGTCAATGTTCTTACCAGTACAGACTAGATTACGACACTCTCCATTCCTGAAGTCATGGAAGACCCTGTTCCTGTGATGCTGTGCCATCTTACTATGCATGAAGAAGCAAGAGTAGCCGAGCTGGGTGATCTTCTTGGCCAATAGCTCAACGCGTTGAACTGAATTGCAGAATATTATACTCTGATTAATTTGTAACTAAAAGAGAGAGAGGAAGGAAGGGGAAGCTGTTAATGGTCATAAATGACAAGCAAGCAGGGGTCATCGAATTCCCAGTACAACATTCCCAAATAGACACCAAATTGGATTGTCTCAGTTACACAATGGGCTATTGTTATTGTTATTCATGTGGTGATGTACATGCTAACCATGCAGCTTTCAAAACACACACACACACACACTAGCTATCACAAGCTCACAGAAAGATACTTCTATACAGACATAATGTACACTAGTCAGTCCCTTACTTTTGAGAAGAGTGTGTTAAGACAATGGACTTTCTGTCTTTCCTCCAAGTATGCGTAATATTGGGTGACACCTTTCAGGGTTAGCTCATCCATCAGGTTAATCTTGTACGGATTACGCATGTGAGTGTCCTACATGAGGAGAGGCACCATGACCCACCCATTGACACGCCCACCACTGACCATAAAACCTTGAATGGAGATAGGGAATGTCGCAGAGAAGAGAAAGACTTGTCGTCCTGAGGGTAGCCTTGATATGATCCTGTCCAGTGTCTTCTGGTAATCCATTGATAACAACTTATCAGCCTATGGAGGAGAGAGAGAGAGAGAGAGAGAGAGAGAGAGTGATAGTCAAGTTTGTAAGCAGCTGCTTCAAAATAATCCTAAATTCCTAGCACTAATAATCGCCTAATTGAATAGACCCAACTAATAAATAAACACTTATATGCCCTACATGTACATATACCAGTCCCTATTACCAAAGTAGCTTACCTCATCTAGAACGAGTATTTGGCACGCACCCATCTTAGCCACACCCTTTTCAATGAGGTCCAATATTCTCCCGGGGGTTGCGACGATGATGTGAACGGTTTCATCGAGTCTCATAATATCGTCTCTTAGACTCGTACCTCCTGTTGTCACCATCACACGAGCGTTCATGTGCTTCCCTAGCTCAATGCAGAGCTGTGACGTCTGTAATGCTAGCTCTCGTGTCGGGACAATTACCAATGCTAGATAAAGAGAAGATAGGATACTTTAGGATATCTTAGGATACTTCAAGATATCTTAGAATACAACATCTATTATAAAGTAATATGTCACCAGTCTCATGACACAATAAATTTAACATGATTACTCTGCAATTACTAGTATACTCTAGTAAAACACTGCATATTTCAGTATACTACATGCACTTACATTGTATGTGTGTCTTATCGGTGTCGATCTTCTCCAGGAGTGGGATGAGATATGCTCCGGTTTTACCCGTCCCGTTCTTTGCTCGGGCAAGTATGTCCCTCCCAGCGAGAGCTATGGGTATGCTCTCCTCTTGAATCGGAGAAGGAGCTTCGTAGCCTTTTTCAAAGATACCCATGAGAAGGTCTCTCTTAAGGCAGTAGTCTTCAAATTCGTTGCCTTTTCTACGAGCGACATCCTAAAATAAGAGGAGAGAGAGATGAATGATAAGCTATATAAAGGACTGGGCTCACTTCTGTTTGTTTTCTTTTGTCCTTAGGAGGTATGGCTAGTTTGCCTTTCCAGTCTCCACTAAAAGAGAGAAGCGAGAATAAAAATAATTTACAATTAGGAAAAGTGAGAATTAGGACTATAGGAGTGAGATATAAAGGACTTACTTTTCAGTAGCAGAATGGGAAGTGGCGCTAGAGATTGCTGCAGGAGCGGCCATTTTAAAACAGCAGGCGAGTCCTTTTGTACAAAGTTGGGGACACGGTTTAAAAAAAAAGAGTCCGAATGAGGGAAAGGGAGAATAAAGAAGGGATGAGTGGGGGCTTTACGAGGCGCAAGAATAGACTGCGAGTGCTCCTGTGGAGAGAGAGAGAATAACTGCCTTGTGAATCTGTGTCTTTTGCTGACAATCTCCGAATAACTCCGCGTGACTATCAGTATAACTACGGATACTAAAATGTGCCCCGCGCTATGGGGGAATAATCCCGGACCCAATGTCATATGTATTGCTAGTTGGTGAGGGAAACTTTTCGTTCACACTTTCCTACTGCAAGAGGTGGCCATTGCAAAGCAGAGAGAAGGTACTGAGTACTTCCTTTGACAAAAGAGATACTGTAGAGAGGAGACATGTTGAAGCTGCAGGAACCATCCAAGAGTTACAAGATGAGAATGGAGCCGCCGTCCATTTTTCTATTGATGCTACTAAATTGGACAAATACGATGTCATACTGGAAAGCTCACCTTTTAGCAGGATAATTTTTAATTTTCCACACATCGGGGGAAAATCTAATCTAAAATTAAACAAGGCCCTCGCTCAAGGGTTCTTGACATCAGCAAGTAAAATCTTAGACCCCCTGGGAGGCGAAATTTGGTTGAGCTTGTGTCAAGGTCAAGGGGGCACTCCTGTTGATGACAGTGGGCGTGGTTACGAGAACAGTTGGAAAATTGTTGAATTGGCAGCCGAATCTGGTCTCATTTTGACTGAAGTTCGTTCTTTTCTCAATTCTGATTGGCCAGGATACACATCCACTGGTTACCGTGGTAATGATAAAGGTTTTAACGTAGAAGGTGCTTTGACTCACATATTTACAAAAGAAAAGATAAGCCGAGATGCATGGACCTCAAATAAAGACGGCATATTTAAAGTTGAACCGTGTCGAGCTTGTTATTGCAATTGTGACCAGCAGACTACTCTTCATCCTGCAGTGTTGATTCAAGAGCTAAAACCTTATGAATGCTTTGTGTACCCATTATTGGCTCAGGAATGGCATCCACTAAGACGTGTTACTAAGATAATGACTGATAGCCTTACACAATACCTCTCTCTCTCAAATTCATCCATTACAGTCCTTCCTTGTTCATATTGGCCTACTGTGCATAATTCAAGTTGTATTTTGTCCTATTTTAAAGAAGATAATAATAAAAGACAAATAATGCTTTTATCTGGTGATGAGTTGCTTCTAGAATCATCACTGAGTGATCATGTTCATCTATTATTAGCAAAATTTGGAGAGAAACCTGAAGACTCCATTAAAGGGAGTTTTGCTTCTCACACATTCATTCTCTCTTCAGCTGTATACTCTGCAGGAGAGTCCAGTGATCAATCTGTGATCAATCAAGATCAATCTGCATCAGCTAGTGCATTATCTCAGAATCAAATCAAATCAAATCCCAATCAGCCGTTAGTGACTCACCAGTTGATGATTCTAACCATCAGTAGTAGGAAAAACAAGACAATGACAAGTGGATTAAAAAGCATGACAGTTGCTGCTTTATCTACTGCTTTACAGGTTAGTCATTCAGACCTGGAATGGATTAACTCTGATGCAACTACTGGTGACCAGCAAAGTCTTGTGGTCTTACGAAGAGGCTCTCAAAGTCCTCGAGTTCTTGCGCTCCTTTCTCCTATTTTAAACGATCCACTTCTTGCTGGCTCTAATAGTTGTTATCAGTATGCCATTGTATTTCTAGAGGGACTTGTGTCTATAAAGTATGCTATACTTGACTGGAGGATGCTGTGGTCAAAAGATATCAGGTTTTATAAGCAGTTCTGCTCCTTGGAGCAAATGGAAACACTCGAATTTCATCCCTTTTCATTATTTCCTCCAAAATTCACACACGACGTGAGCTTTTGGGTCAAAAGAGAAGTTGAAGGAGGAAATATTGAGGCAGCGAGGGTCAATTCCTCTTTAATGAGTGTGGTAACATCAATTGCTGGACTAAACTTGTATTCTGTTCATTGCATTGATACTTTTGAAGCTCCAGACGAGTCTCTACATTCTGGTCTGACAAGTTTCTGTTACCGGTTAGTCTACTATTCACCTGATGGTGCTCTTGGGAAATCTCGTGCTTCAGGATTGCAGCAGTTGATTAGGGATTCAATTGAGCAAGACTTGAAGTGGAAATTGAGATAATAATTTGTTTTGCTACAGTTACTATACTTGTGTGTATGGTTGTTGTTTGTTTTTTTCAAAAAAGTATTAGTCATTACAAAAAATTATTAACTTAGAACAAAATTAGTATGGATAGAATGAACAGAGAACACATACAAATTACTGAAATTAGTTATAATTTGCTGAGTTGATCATCGTGGAGGGTTACTACAATCTTCCCTTTGCTTTTTTTAGTATAAAGGTAGTCTACAGCATCAGGGATAGACGTAAGGCCTCTAAAAGGACCCCCAGGCAAGTGAGCACCCAAATCGACTCCAACTTTTAGCTTCCCTTCCGATTCAAGCTTAGCTAACTCTCCAATATGCTTTGGCAACTCTCTCATGTAATGCAATAGGAAAAACCCTCTCAGACTAGCCGATTTACTTAAGAGTATTTGCTGGATTGGGACGGTAGGTATAGCCTTGTAAGACTCTTTCTGATAATCTGTAATCATTCCTATAACAATCAGGCGACCTCTCACCGCAAGGTTTCTCACACAAGTATTAAAGATGTCTCCACCCATGCTCTCGTACACCACGTCAAGACCTCGAGGGTACTCATTCTTGAGAACCTGCCCCAGGTCCTCTTTTGTGTAGTTTATAGGGCGATTGCAACCCAGGGATCTTAGGAATTCTGCTTTCTCGTCTGAAGAGCAAGTACCAATAACATGGCAGCCAGCAAGAGCTGCTAGTTGGACTGCAAATTGTCCAGTCCCTCCAGCAGCTGCAGTAACCAATACATTTTCCTTTGGCTTCAGATCTCCCAGTTTCTCTAAACTAATAGAGGCAGTGGTTCCGCTGATTATGAATGCCAGGTGCTCTGGTTTGAGGGAGGGAAGGCGGAGGGCTGTCCTCTCAGGTAAAACAAGATACTCAGAGAATGAGCCAATGTTGTTAACAGCTACAGGATCTCCTGGCTTGAGAGATGAGCACCTCTCACCTACCCAAACTACCTCACCCAGAGCCTCCATTCCAACAGTAAAGGGTGGCTTGGATCCATAACGCCCTATAATGATAGAAATTAAATTTAAAGCCTTTTAAATGGAGAAACATACCAGCAGTAACGTTGATATCTGAAGCATTGATTCCAACGTATTTGCTTCTTATTATAACTTCATTGGGTTTCAGGCTCTCTTTGGAAACTGTGGCAGTGTTCAAAGTGATGGCCTCGCGGAAGTTCTGAGTCATTTTAGTGCAGACTAGCTTCCTAAAGGTCAAGGGAAAGTCTATCAGTCCTTTAGTGTAAGACGCCATTGTTTTATTAATAACTGTTATATAATAATGGGCGTAGCTAAATGAAAATTTTACTAAATTTTTAGTAATAGCCCTGCAAAATTTTGATTCATAAAATACAAAAAGAATAAAGTGTTGACTGCTTTTATCATATTGCACTAAATGAGAGAAGAAACATACAAAGAGGAGGAGACAGAGAGTGAGATTTGACGACATTAATTTAAAATAAAATCCTCACTAAAAGGAAGAAAATTCAAGTAGACAAACGATTATAAATGGCTAAGTGACAATCTGAGAGAGAGAGGGAGAAAGCATGAGAGAGAGGGAGAAAAATAAAATAAACACACACGGCATTATACAAAATACAGACAAAGAGAGACAATCATTGAAGGGAAAGAAAGAGGTTTTACTGTACACGCATAACAAAAGCATGTACGGCGAATGTAATGACTCAATTTTTAACTCCAAAGCCACTTAATATCATTTTAGCAAGTTCAACATTATTCTGAGCAATAGCCAGCGCTTTAACGACATCACTTCTACTATAACCATCCTTCACTAGATCAGACACAATTGCCTCACGACCAGTCAGTCTCTGCTGATTCTGAGCCGGCGGGGGAGGGCCCGGACTTGACGAGACTCTCATTGGGTTTCTCGGAGGAAGAGGAGGTTCAGACGTAGCAGTGGGCGGAGGCCCGTTTGAAGGTTTTGGAGGGTTTCTAGGTGGCAGGGGAGGCTCCTGTTTGTGCAAGGTCTGAGAAGGAGGAGGAGACACAAAATGGCGCGAACGAGGAGCGGGCGGTTCTACTGACCTAGACCGACTCACGGGGACAGGGACAGGTATATGCCTTTCCGGGAGCGGGGGCAGTTCAAGGTTCTTTCTTTCGACGGCCGGAGAGGGTTTCTTAGTGAACGTCATTAGCTCCATGTGAGGCTCATCATGTTTCGGAGGAAGGCTGGGAGGTTGGAGGTCACTGCCCCCGGAATCAGTACCAGCTGGTTTTACCATATCAAGGGGGTGTCTTTGCAAAGCATGGGGAAACGCATACGGGGATTCATCAGGAGAATTATCGTCTATGTTAGTGACCTGAAGTGGCTCCAAGTTCTCCTCGTCCGGTAAGTCAAAGACAGGAGAGCCGTTATTATCAGTCCTGATCTTCTGCTGTCGCTGTACTTTGGAATAACCATACTCATCCAATTCACTTCCTCCTTTCTTTCTGTCTTTGTCCTTGAGGCTCCTTCGCTCTATAGCTGCTCTTATAATCTCGCCAGCATCTTCATAGGCGGAACCACCAGTCGTGTCAGCAGTATCTGTTGCCAGTTCGTTGCCATATATGGGCGTTGAATTATGGGCCTCTTCTCTCTGTATCTCCATTGGTGCTGTCTTTGTTTTACTGGTGACTCTTTCACCCATTGTCGTCGGCCACGCAATGTCATCTTCAAAATTAGGAAAGTTGAGATCAAAGTTGGCAATTTGACTAGAATCTAAGTTAGTAAGATCATCAGACTCAATGAACGAATCAGTGATTGATGGAGGCAGAGAATCAAAGAGATCCTTAGGAGGAAGTGGTGGGACGTCAGAATCAGCAAAGGATTGAGGAGGAGGAGGAGGAGGAATTTCATCAACAGATCGAGGGGGCAGGGGAGGATTAGGAGCGGAACTGGTGTTGTCTTGAATTGCTAGAGAAGGAGGAATCACTTCATCAGATCTTGCCATTGCTATCCGAGCCACACCTTTATCAGGACGAACCTCAGAATAATTAATAGTGTTACCTTTAGCCACGCGTGGCTTTGGAACAGGCTTTGGCTCAAAATGTAAATCAGCATATTGCTTTCCCGCATTATCCATCCCTGTTAACATAGACGGTACAACCATTGACAGTGGGCGCGGACTGCCCCCACCCCGCGGACTACCACCGCCAGGGGTTCTGAGATCGTCGCGTATAAATTGGGCAGGACGCGGGGGAGGTTTGGGGGCGTGAGTGGGAGACGAGGGGGCAGAATGCGACTGGGACTCTGTCTCTTCGCCCTCCTCGCTCGTAGTGGAAGGAATGTTGAGTTGTTTAGAGGGATGATCGAGTCTCCTTGCCGGGGGTAGGGGAGGTAAGGGGGATATCGTACAGGAGGGGGTATCGTCCTGTGTACCGGTTGAAGTAGCAGTTGTGTTGTTGAATAAAGTCTGTCTTGCCAACACTGGGCTATTGCTCGTCCAACCATCTCTGTCCTGTAGAGAGAGAAAGAGAAAAAGTTACAAAATGACATAAGAACACATTCAAACATGATATCAAGATGCTGCTATAAGCAAAACAAGCCGAAAAACACTAACTCAATGCTGTGTATGCACTACCCAATGCAAGTACATGTACATGTATCATGTGAACGGGCAGAAATACTGTCCTACAAAGGAGATGTGACAATACAGTATCCCTGATGATGATTGAGTCCTGTGTCTGTAGCACACACTAGTCCAACAATGGCCATAGACTAAACCCAAACAGTGAGTCTTCCACACAATCAGCCTCTTTCTTATACAATACAGTTGACACAATACTTAAACACAAACACTGTACACTAATCATCTTTACATGTACAGATATCTACAAGTGCACATAGTAGTGTATAGAGAATAAACTAAACTCATTACTGCTTATATAGTACACGTATGTACATGTACATGGAAAGAATGCATTATACACCTTAATACATACATCTTACATTACATGTACAGTCTTTCTTACCTCAAATTCTTCTTCTCCTGTTGTTGAGGCTATGGCAGTATCAGACTTACCATTACCCTCAGATCCTTCTCCTCCTCCTCCTCCAACTTCTCCTGCCCCGCCTCCAGCCCCACCCCCTCCAAGATTCATTGCCAGTTCGGTAGCAAGGGAGTACGTGGCATCATGCTTGGGTCCGTTATCGGATGAGTTTCTGTTACTGAACGGGTCGACTACAACTGGTTCAGAGTCCTTGATGTCTTCTCTACAGAAAGGACAATCAGCACGTCCTGACTCAAGCCAGCTCTGGAGACACACGTGGCATATGAGGTGACCGCACGGCTCCAGTTTGACGTCTTTGTCGTTTTCGGCGCAAATCTTGCACATTTGAAAGGTGGAGCCCATCTCACAATAGATCTCGTATTGTTCTTGACTGACCTAAGGAGAGAGGGAGAGAGAGGGGAAGAGAATCTCAATTATTTCAAAAATGATAAAAGGAAGTGGACTCGTGACGACAATAAAAACAAATTATAAGAAAAAGGGACAACAAAAATTAGCATTTACCGAACACAGTCAATCATACAGCATAAACAAGTAAGACACATTGTAAATGTACAAGCATAAACATAGAGATCGAGGTAGCCCTGTGTACATGTACATGTATATTTCCTGCTGCCAGTCAAATTAGAGCAATTGGTTTTTCATTAATGGTCTAACTGCTCTTAAAATTGGCAATTGTATTCACATTAAAAGACTATTAGTAGTGTGGGCAGAATTTGTATTGGTTGAGTCAGTACATTACTGATACAGGGGATATACCAACAATACCTTATTATGGACAATCAAATTCACAAATGAAAATACCTGGCTTTCATTACACTATATAATTCCTACCATAAAAGTTATGCCGCCTTAACACACAAGACACATCAACGTCTCAATATTAACTTTTAGTTTTTCTAATGATAACAAAAATTCGCTCATTAGTTCTTTCCCTTTTCGCTTATACGCACATGTACATGTACACATAGAAAATGTTATCATAACCATAAAAATAGGTAAATAAATAAACGAAACGAAAATTGTTACCCAATGTTACAAAACCAGGTTACCGTATGTGCATGTGTATAGCTAGTAATGGCTCACTTGTATGTGTTTGTTCTGAGCTGGTGATATGATCTCGTGGAGGTCAGGATTGTAGTCCTCGCCATTAGGATATAAGTAACTAAAAGGAACATAATATAAACAAATAATATCCTTTCTATAGTTTAGACAGTATTCTTCAATCCTCCTCTCTCTCTCCTCCTCCTCTTCCCTCTCTCCTCCCTCCTCTCTCAATCTCTATATTTACAATCTTTCTCTAGCTCCGTCAATCAATGCTTGGCACAATGATTTGTTCTGTGGTATGGTCTGTAGTATGCTACCATCAACAGTCACATATCCAATAGCCCACTGACCTAATCTTGTACAACTTAACCTAAATATATAACTATAAGAGAGAGAGAGAGAGAGGAGGGGAGAGAGAGAGAGGGAGGGAGATGGAGAGAGAGAGAAGATGAGAGAGAAATATGAAAACGTGCGTGATTAGTTGATGACACACATACAAAAGTAGCATTAACAAAAACTGCCAAAAGCAATAACACACACGACATACAAA